ATTATTATTATTATTATACAGGATTTATATAGCGCCAACAGTTTGCTCAGCGTTTTACAATATAATGGGAGACAATACAGCAACAATTATATATAAAAATCCTCCTGCGCTTAATGGATTACCTAAAAATTCTCATCTCAAGCAGCCAGCACTGAATCTGATACCCAATAGTTATATAATACAGTTTTATAGAAAGATAGTGCAGCGCTTCACAATAGTCATATATAATACTCTTTAATAATCACACATGGATAAATAGTGACCAAAGGGGTAAATAGTAACAATAACCATGCTCCCCTCACTCCCACTCTATATCACGGTGTGTGAGGTAGGTATATGTAAAAAAAAGTTCTCCAACAGTAAGTGATGGTGCTTGCAACACAGAAAAACTTCATGCAAGGTGCAAAGATAAAACTCAGGTGATGGCGAGTGACAATCCTCCTCTGGCTGAAATGCCCCCTCACCTTAATACAACGACCCAATGGGCCTTCAAGATCACTATGTGGGATCTTAATCACATATGCTGCCAGACAAGCTCCTCCAAGACTTGCTTCAAATGGTGAAAATGTGCTGGACACTTTGGCTCCTAATCACCGCTAGGTGTGTCACTTGACAGGATGATAAAGGATAAAAGACTCTGATAGTGTAGTAGTCTAAGTAATCAGTGCTTTATTAACAAGGAAATAGCACTTACATTCAGTGAGCACTAAAGTGCCTCCCTCCAAGGTAAATACGATAAAGACAGATAATCCTCCTGACTTTTAAAATACAGACACTTACCTGTCCCTCGGTGCAGCGGTGTCCTCACCACTGCTGGTTTCACCCGCCCTCTTCTCTCCCTGGCACTGGCATCTTCAGTGCGGGCACCCGGCTGTGACAGCTTGCGGCTTCACATCCGGGTGCCCACTGTGAATGTGCGAGAAGCGTTGCACTTTGTGAGTGGCCCCATAGTCTTCTGGGACCTGTCACGTGTCCCAGAAGACTGGGGGGGGCAACTGCCTTTTCCTATTGCCTAGGCAATCGCAGCAGAAGTGGGAGCAGTTACCTGTCATATCCAGGTACCCGCTCCCCAAAGGTGCCAATCCTTAATGGGGAGCGGGGGGCAAAGGCTTTCATAATCCATATTCAGGGTATAACATGTAACATGTTATGAAAGCAGCAGCCCCTGCTAATCCCCCTTTCTGACAGCTAGTGGGGGATCCCCCCCCCCCGCTAAGTGTCAAATTTAAAAAAAAGTGGTTGTGTGGGGCCCTAGCCGCCCAGCCGAGTCACTCCTCTGTGAATGACAGACTACAAGTCCCAACAGCCTAATGCAGGCCATACATGGCTCAAAATTCGACCGCTTTTGCATCTGAAAATCGGACCTAAGAATAATTGGCCGATTTATTCTCTGTTATTGGGTCAATGGCACTGGCTGATTTTCATGGTTCCTCCCCTTTTCAGTGATAGGGCATGTGGAAAATTTGTGAAAAACGACAGATTTTTGACTCGATGGTCAAATTATATGATCCTTTTTCCAAAAAGAATATGCGCATGAGCCATGAGCTGGAAGGAAAAGACATTTCGCCTGTTATATGGGGTGAACATTATGACTTGGATTTTCAAAATCATTGATGGTACCATCGGATTACCAAGCAAACGTTTTCGATTTTTGGACGAGAAATCGAGCCATGTATGGGCTGCATTAGTGGCTGTCAACATGTAGTTCTCAATGAACTACCACAGTGCTGTGGAGTCCATTGATTCTTCCTCTCAGTATATGTTTGTTCGTACATGCAAGCGGATATATACCGACAGGTCAGCAGGAGACTTGCATGGCACCAGTGATCTGCTAACCACTGCTGCAATGCTTTACAGACTCCTGCAACAAAATATAATAGATGCACATTTTTTTACCTGCAAAATGTGCATTATTCGTTACCAAAAGGTAAACGTATCCTTTAAAAGGATGAGGTGGCAACCCTAAAACCCATGACAAGTGGGTCCCCTACATAATCTGGCAAAAGCAGGAAGTACTTGGCAAAGAAGTGTGGTATTTATCTAGAGTAGTATTGATATCACTTGCTCTATGTACTCTTTAGAATGTTGTGTTTCTCTACCCACTTCCTCCCAATCACTGACATCACTTCCCTCCCCCATCCTCTACCATCTTCTTTTGTCTGTCCATGGGATCAGAGCGCATGTCAAGGATGCTGGCTCCGCCCTCAGGAACGCGCGGACGGTGGCGGATGTGACGGTGAATCGGGAGCGAGCACGGCCTGTTCACACGTGGTGTTGCTGCTGAGATCACACCGGAGAAATGAGGCGGCCAAGTGAGTGCGGAGTTGTAGAGAATGTCAGGGATTCACAAGTCATATTGGGGCAGGACTGATAGGGGCACTTATGGGTCGCGGGTGACTGAAGAGAACATTTAAAATCGGCTGTAGATAATCTGGTTTCTGACCTGTCAAGTTGTCTGTATTGTAACATGGAGGTTTCCAGACAGGAATAAGTACAAACAATGGGAGTGTATGAGGGCGGCCATGAAGGAGCTCTCTCCTGAGCCATGAGGTGGGCCGCACTGTCTCCTCTGTGTACTCCTGACCTGGAACAGGCATAGAGATGGGGACTCTGGCAGTCCTCTGACTGCTGGTTCATGTGTAGACATAGCCAGGCGACCAGCATTTTCAGAAGACTGCAGATATGTAGGCCCCCCCCCTTGTTTTCTCTTATAACATGGAGAATGATTTGCTCCCCTCCGCTGAGCGATCACATCCACCTCCACACATTCCCCGCGGTCTCCTGAGTTTCCTGACATCCAGCACTGCAGGTTCTCTCCCTGGCCGCGCCTGCACAGTATAGCACCGTAGAAGTCCATGGAGCTCCACTGTGTAGCATGGAAAGATGTCTCCTTGAAGCCAGAGCTCCACCCAATAGGGAAAGCTCTGCTTTAAGGACTGGTCCCTCACTCCCTGTTAAGCACTGGCACCTTTGGGGAGCTGGGGGAGAATGGGTACATGAAATTGACAGGTACCCGCTCCCACTTCCACTTGCAATTGCCTAGGCGATTGGAAGCGGAAGTTGTCCTGCTTCCCCTCCCCATAGTCTTGTGGGTCACATGACAGGTCCCAGGAGACTGTGGGACCATTCAGAAAGCACAGCACTTCTCGCACATGCTCCGTGGGCACCTGGCTGTGAAGCTACAAGCTGTCACAGCAGGATGCCCACACTGAAGATGCCGGCACCGGGAACACAGGACAGCCGATGAAACGGGCTGTGGGGAGGACATAGCTGGATCGAGGGACAGGTGAGTGGCTGTTTTAGTCAGCAACTAGTTCTTGTAGCTGCTGCGCCCGCCCCCCCCCCCCCCCCCTTTTTGTTTTTTTCTCTTTTCTTTCTTATAGTTTGACTGGAACTCCACTTTTAAGTGGATGTAAACCCTTACATATAAAAAGTGAAGTGACTGGCCTCAGGTGACGCACAGAGATGAAACAAATGTTACAAAAGTTGTACCTGTTTATCTGCAGTCATTCCAAGTGCATCTTGTTTGAGAGTTAAAAAAAAGAGGTGGAGAGCTGAGGGTACACTCCACAGCTCAGTGAGGCAAGTTCTGAGAGCTGATGGAAGGGTAGAGACCACCCCCCGCCCCCCCCCCCCCCCCCCCCCCCCCCCAAAGTGGTCCAAAGTGTTAGGCTTTAACCGCCTCCTGCCCACCATATAGTAATATGACGGACGAAAGGTGGTTCTTTCGTTCTGGGAGGACATCATATGACGTCCTCCCATTCTAACTGCGCATGCGCGGCTCCCAGAGCGCGCAGCGCGACGATCGGCGGTGCGCTGTGTCCCTAGGACACAGCGGATCACCGATCCACGGAAAGAGCCGAACATGTCGGCTCGGTCGGTCATGCGATCAGCTGTGTCCAATCACAGCTGATCACATGTAAACGGGAATGCCAGTTATTGGCATTTCTCTCCCCATGAGCTGTCACGCTGACAGCTCGTGAGGAGAGCCGGTAATCGGCATTCCTCGGAGGGGACGTACACAGATCATCAGAGCACTGATGATCAGTGTGCCCTGATGATCTGTGTAGCGCCAGCAGCGCCACCTGTCAGTGTCCATCAGTGCTCATCCATGCCACCTGCCAGTGCCCATCAGTGCCACATATCAGGGCCCATCTGAGCTGCCTTTCAGTGCCGCCTATCAGTGCCCATCAGTGATGCTTGTCAATGCCCATCAGTGCCACCTACCAGTGCCCATCAGTGCAGCCTATCTGTGCCCATCACTGCAGCCTCATTAGCGCACATCAGTGAAGGAGAAAAATCACTTTACAAAATTTTATAACAAACTAAGAAAAAAAGTTTTATTTTTTAAATTTTCAGTGGTTTTTGGTTTGTTTAAGAAAAAATAAAAAACCCAGAGGTGATTAATTACCACCAAAATAAAGCTCTATCTGTCACAAAAAAAGATAAACATTTCATATGGGTGCAGTGTTACATGACCGTGCAAGTGTAATTCAAAGTGCAACAGCGCTGGAAATTGGCCTGTGCAGGAAGTGCCCTGTAGGCTAGTGGTTAAAGATGCACTGCAGCTGTGTTCCTTTAGGACATACGATGTCTGCAGATAGCTTGCCTTTCTGGAAGCTCAATTTGCCAGACCACACTCCACAAACTGCCTTCCCCACCACTAGAGCCCCTGCTGTTTTAATGGGGCTTCTGGGTAACTGGGTGCCAATGATCTCTCACATGAAGATACTTTGGCTTGAACAGCATTACTAGCTTTAAACTTTGTCATGTGGTGCCGTGCTGGAGGAGGTAGAGGCTGCAGGGGTGACACATCTTAGTATCAAATCATTTTTAATACCACATCAAACTTGACTGGACTTGGTATTTTGGCAGGGCCACTCCTTTTGTGTTTGTAATTGTCTTTCCTATGTATGTTACATTTGGGTAGGTAGTGCTAATGAGCCTGATTTTGTATTTGCTTTTTTTTTTCATATTTATTTTAATCCTTTTGTCTTTTACAGAGTTGAAGAAAGCTAGTAAGCGTATGACATGTCACAAACGTTATAAGATCCAGAAAAAGGTATGTATAGCCTTTGGAAGGTTTAAGTTCAACTGTTTTCTGTAAACCGATTTTTGAGAACAAACAAGTCACTGAACTCAACAGGCATGTAGGACAGGACTTTTCAGACTTGACTAGTTGCCTGTTCCAGTTCATTACGTTGTGAATGCAGGCTCAGAATGACAGCTTTAGAGGCTCCTGTGTTAAAGTGGAACTACAGTGAAGTGATCATGTTTTCTCTACCTTTATCCATTCACAAAAAGGCATGTGTTCATTTTACAGAATGCAGGAAGTTCTGTGCGCGAGATACAGCTCTTCACCCTGCCCTCCTCTTCGTCCATTCACAGTAAACCTTGTATTTAGTGACAAGAATTCAAGGCTTTTTGTGAATGGGTGAGGAAGGTGAGACTGACACAATCCCTTCATTATACCAGAAGGCTCAGTCACCGCACTAAAAGGAGAGTGATGTGAGAAATGTCCATCATGAATGAAACTCGTGTAAAGCTACTAAGCAGCTCTGTGGTCGTAGGATACAAATCTTTAGAAGTCACTTATTTACATTGTGCTTATTTCCTGGGGTTCCACTTTAACAAGCTGGCAAGCTCTCAACTTTTATTTTTGTTTCTTTACAAGTACTTTTTAAAAGATAAGTGCTCAAATGTTTCTAGATGGCTGCAGCATCGATTCTGTCCCCCACTGGCTCTACATTGAGAAATGAGGGATTAAAGACTCCTGATCACTCAGTTCTGTGGTCCGCTGTGTTCTCTTCACCTCCAGCACTCACTGGAGCGCCGGGCTCTTCAGGGGATGGAAGCGTCTGGCTTAGCCTTATTCTCACAGAATAATTTAGGATTATTCTTCCTTTCAAAGCTGGTTAATAAGGCCATAGACCTGTTTTGAAAGGAAGTGTTTTATTTCTGGTATCATGGGCTTTCTTCTGAGTACCAGTCATGTTGAATGGTCACCTCCATATTTAGCAATTCTCCACAGAGTAGCCACAGCACATCATTTTTTTTTATTTTCAATAGATATAATTGTAGCATTATCTGTCATTAGTGAAGCCTGCTTTTTCATTCCTTCTTTTTTTTTTTTTTAATTTCATAATTCATACTAAAAATAAATATTTATTGAAAGGTCAGAGAACACAAACGGAAAGTAAGGAAAGAATCCAAGAAAGCTGGCCGCAAAAAGCTGAAGAGAGACATCAGCATTCCCAATGATGCCCCCTTCAAGGAAGACATTTTGCGTGAAGCAGAGCTCAGAAAGCAGATGGTAATGTCTGATATCAATTTTACTGGGATTTCTAATCGTGCTGTCTTTTCTATGGATTAGGATTACTTGATAAGTGCTGTTACTAACCTGTGTTCTTTATCTGTAAAGAGAGAGGATTTGAAGAAGGCCCGGAAACTTGAAAGACAGAAGGAAGTGGCAAAGAAAAGGAAATTGGAAGACAAAAAAGAAAAAAATGAAGCAAAACCAAAGGTATCCTTTTTTTATGACAGTCCCAAAATCATAGTTCTACATTTGACAAGTGTAGGGCTTGGAAAATACTTCATGCGAGGTAGCTTGTGTCATGAAACAAGCAGTTTGGCCACAATGTTTATGATTTTTTGGACATTATGCATTCTCGGTGATTGTACGGATTGAAGGGGGTGGGGGGGGGCAGGGGTTTACTAGGTGTTGCCTTCTAAAAAAAAAAAAAAAAAAAAAAAATGTAGTGTCCTCTATTCCCCCTCCAACAGTGTCTCCTCTGTCCCCTTCACATAATCCTCCGCCCACTTCCCCCCCCCCCCCCACAAACACACAGTGCGGTTTAGGTTGCACCGTCTATATGGCATAACAACTAGCTGGTGATCAACAACCAATTACTGAGGCATCTCCCACCCCCACGCTCCATCCAGCACTGATGCCTCCTGCTCTTCAGAGAACATGAGAGCTGTGGAGGCTTGGGGGAGGCAGAGCCGTGGTCACGGTCCCCCTGTAGGCTCCCGGTAGTTTATCTGATCGCAATCGATGGCTTGTTCCTCACTCCCTCACTTTGATTCAGCAAAGGGCATTGCCAGAAGATATGCAATAAATTGCCCTCTTCCTTTTGACAGCGCCAACACAACCTGGACCCTATACCCCTGGACAGTAGTTTGTATCCTTGCTCTTGGAAGCGATTAGCTATTGAGGGTTTGTGAGCTAATTGAATGATCTGGTTCACTTGTTCTCTCATAAAGGACATCTGCAGATCTGCTTCCCAGTTGCGCACGTAAGAGGGGACGAACGTGTTGCGTGTTTACTATTTTATATAATACTGATAGAAGGTGAGGTGTATACTCCTTTGTGGCACAAAGGGAGGGGAGTGATCTGGTATATTTGTCAGAGTTTGCAATTGATTGTAAAAAAGTGACGCTACTGGTAGGCCAAGCAGGCACTTAAAGGGGGTTGTACAAGAGTGCTAAACGTCTGAAGGGACATCCAGTTACACCGAGTCGCAAAATGCCTACACTGTGTAAAGCTCGCCTCCCCAGGTGACGTATCTGCCTACTGTCAATTCCTGGAGGAAAGGTGGGGTAGGACCGTCAGTTTTGACACCCCCGGTCTAGGTGATGGGGGGGTCACTAGAACTAATTGTGCAGGTGAGATACATTTATTTTTTTTTTTTTTCTATCCCCTGAAAAATGCTTTGATTGGAGTTGCTCTTTAGGTGGACAACTTAGATGTAAACGCTGCTTTCTGAAGTTCTACTTGACGCCTGTCATTAGAGAAATATGAAAGGCTGCCATATCTGACCACTTTCCAATAACGCTAGTTGCCGAACTACTATGATGGTACTTTGACTTCAATGCATTATGAATCGCAGCCCCAAAAAAAGTATAGAAGTAAGGCATCTTCTTTTATTTTTCTTAAATTTTATTGAAAGAATATGCCACTAACAAATTCAACGTTGTGGTCATCAAAACAAGATCACGTATATCAGCAGAGGAATTCATATGGCAAAGGCAGTGTGGAAGGCAGGTTCTAATAAGATAGTGAGATATTAACATTGCAACTGCAGGCTTTACCATTTACAAGGCTTATGGGAAAAGTCGTCTGCGCAAGGTAATATCAGAGGGACCCTAGTATGCCAGAGTGAAAATCAGCAGCGCTATCTCCACACTGTGGTAAAGCTCTCAGTAGAAGGCTACCAAAGGAGGAAAGAGAAGTTAATGGAACTGGTAAGTGTGGAAAGAGAAGAGAGAGGAAGAAAAAAGCAGTGGGAACCAGTGAATGGGGGGCCTAGAAAGAGCCAGTAAAGAGAAGGGACAGGGGGGAGACTTATGGATACATGAAAAGGGTTGTTTAGGGGTAGGGGGGAGGAATTTTTGCTTTTCTGACAATCATGCTGTATGATCTAGTTCATGGACTCAAATATTAACTCTAAAGGTAGCCAGGCAACTAGAATTTTCAGAACAAGCCTGCAGTGGCATTCTAAGTATTTCTTCCCTAACAGATGTACTTTTAACCTCTTATTAAATTTTGGCACCTTTATATAAGTTCTAAGGTTCCATAGGTTGTAGGCTATTTTGAAGTGTTCTAGATGTTAATTTTCTGTTTGTAGTACATAATTCAGTCTTTTTGCATATAGTTTAACAACTGATTTCTAAAAGCTGCTATATTTCCTTTTTTCAAGGACATTCAAAAGGCTGCAAAACCAAAAAAGCCAGTGGCTAGAAATTCTGTTAAATCTTTTTGCATAGAGGTGAAGAAGGTAAGGTCTGACATGGCGAGTTTCTCACAGTGTGTGACAGTTTGAATTTGTCAAAAAGTAAAACGGCGCTGGAATTGTATAGTGATTTAAAGTGGTTGTAAACCCTTGCATATACCAGTGAAGTGACTAGCCTCAGATGATACACAGAGATGAAACCAATCCTCCTACATAAGTTGTACCTGTCTATCTGCAGTCTTCTCTTTTCTACAGCCATTCAAAGTGCTAAAGCTTGCCTAATAGTTCAGAAAAAAGGGGGTGAAATTACATTCTGCAGAGCTCAGTGAAGAGAGCTAATTGGAGGGAAGAGACACCCCCTTCATGATGAAACAAATCCTCATGTATATTATCCTCCTACATAACTTGTACCTGTTTGCAGTATTCTCTTCTCTGCATTTGTTCAAAGTGCTGACTTTGTAAAGCTTGTCAGAAAAGAGGGAGCTGAGAGATGAAATTGCACTCTACAGAGCTCAGGAACAAAGCTGAGGCTATCCATCAGCTAGAGCTCCCTCACCTGTGACCTTTTTTTTTTCTTGGTGTGAGGAAAGCTTGTCAGAAGTGATTCATGCTGTTATCAGAGGAATGAAGCTGCAGACAAAAATGACACTTGGTGCTCTTAATTAAGACAAGTACAAACTATAGAGGGATATGCTTTGTTCATATTTCATGTCTGAGGTTTACAACCACTCTAATGTAGTAAATTTATAACTTTTTTTTTTTTTTTTTTTTGTTTCTTTTAATGATTTTCTTTTGGGTATCTTGGATTTTTGTGCATTTTAGGTTTGTTTTAACCGACCTTTGGAAACCTGTTACACCCCCTATTTAGGGTGTAACTTGTTGCTAATACCACAATGCCTCTGCTTTGCAGGGATGAGAAACAGATTGCTCCCTCTGTACAGAGCTCTGTTTTGTCAACAAAGGGCTCTGGACTGTGATTGCACACAGCTGATCAGCAGGTCCTGGCCGTGTCTTGCTGACAGGCTCCTGCTGTGTACAGTTACAGTGGGTGCAGGCCGGGAAGTTAGCGTGTGTGCCCAAAACCCAGAACTAGGCAACAACATGGTATGTCGCTTTGCCTACAGTACATTGCTGCTTGTGGTCACTAAGTTGTCAAAGTGCACAATTTATTTTATAGGAACTCTGCAGTTTGTTTAGAAGTTCAACTATACCTGTTAGCTGGAATTCTTGTTAGGAATCCAAGAAAAGGGCACCTAAGCGCATGAAAATCCGCAAGCTTTACACTCTGTCTTGCACTGACTTCAACTATCTATAGACTTCCACTCATTTTCAAGATAAATGGAGGGTATTGCAGTGGACACAGAATGTTGGCATATAGCTGTAGATCAGCTGTGTGAATATACTCAAAACTGCCATGTATCCTGCAGTAAGCCACATTTTCTATGTAGTCTAGTAGGGTGAGCCTGATATCGCTGCTAATTTCAAAGCCTTTTGGGGCTGCAGAAGAACTCTCTTGCAAGGTGGCGAGAGATGTGAAATCTAATGTATATGTCCTTTCAAAACAAATGTTTAACTGCCTTTTGAAAATAAATAGGCAAACCTACATGGTTGAAGGGAATTTAAAGCAGAATTAAAGTACATATTTTTATCTACCTAAATAGGTGTTAAAGGGTAGCAGATCTAGATCTAGACTGATCTAGCTTATATGTAAGCATGATTTAATTTATGTCCTAATTCCAATGCAGGTGATTGAGGCATCTGATGTTGTCCTGGAAGTGTTGGATGCTAGAGATCCTCTGGGTAGCCGGTGTCTGCAAGCAGAGCAATTGGTTCTTCAGTCTCCAAACAAGAAATTGCTGCTTGTCCTCAATAAAATTGGTAACTTTAATTTTGAAACCTTTCCTTGGAAAATATCAGTTGTTGGGGCTGATGCATTAAAACTGGAGGAAAGAAGTGATCAAGTATGTTGAGTTGCCTGTAGCAACCATTTAGGTTTTATGAAAAAACAGATTAGCAAAAAAACTCCAGTTTGTTCATGTTTTCTACTTTTCTGTTTTAATGAATTGGCCCTATAATGTTCTTACTGTCAGAAACAAGAAATGAGGAGAATGTTATGCAGTCTGAGCAAACAGTGAAGACTGTCAGATCCAACGCTGATCTTGTATTCTGAAGACTAAGGATTATGACACAGAAATGTTTTTATTTTACAAATTGAGTATCGCAGAATACTGTTAACAACACTGTTTTTTTTTTTTTTCTAAAGCTAAATGAAAAGCTTGTATAAACTTTACAGTAGTTTCAGTTCAAGCTGTGTTTCTCTAGATCTCGTTCCCAAAGACAATATTGAGAAGTGGCTAAATTTTCTGACCAAGGAAATTCCAACAGTCGCCTTCAAATGTTCTACACAAGTGCGAGAAAAAAACTTGGTAAGTCATTTATGATCAAGGTAGTGTTTACTGTATGTAAAACACATTTGCTTCAGGCAAAATTTAATTATTTTTAAAAGGTGCTCAGTGTTTCTGTGCTGTGCATGATGAGTAGTCTGATCTGATTATCTTTTGATGAACACAAGATCCAACTCTGAGATCAGCATATGCCATCTGACCTGTCCATCCATGGATTGATCTCTGATCAACCCAAAGGGTCTTATCCAATACAATCATTATTAGTAAAGTTTTGATGTTACCCACTTTTGAGAGTGCCTTTTCCTATGATGTTTTTATAAAAAACCTAGTTTGAGCCAGAATTCTCCTTTTTGAATTGGGAAGTGAAAATAGTAGATTGTAAGCTCGAAAGAGCAGGGCCCTCGAACCCCTCGTGTATTGTCTCATGTTCTGTCCCCCTCGCTAATGTACAGCGCTGAGCACACCCTTTGGCGCTATATAAATACTGTATAATAATAGTAATAATGAAGGCCACTATTTATGACCCCTGCTTTTTAGTTTTTGGGTTCTCCATACTGATAATTTGGCTTGTGTTGTCTGGAGTCACTTACTCAGAACAGGTATCGAGATTTACGGCATGCATGTTGTGGACCTGTGACTCAAAATCGTACATACAAGTCATACATAGCTAGGTATCTAGCATTATTGAAAGACCAGCAATTGACCGAGTCACTTTAAAGTAAAACATTAAGAAAATATCTTTTGCAGAGCAGAGATCATAATGCCATCCACACACTTCTCTGCCTCAACCACAGAATACAAATATTCCAGTAAATGGTTGAGCGGCACTCAGCCCAACTCTGTTTTGTCCTGGGAGTGAGATGGGAAGTTTCCATCTCACTGCTGCAATACATTTTATACTGTAAGTAGCTGAGGCGACAAAGTGAATACAGCGCACTTGTTAGTGCAGTAAATAGTTCATTTAGGCCAGTGTTTCTCAACTCCAGTCCTCATGGACCCCCAACAGGTCATGTTTTCAGGATTTCCCTCAGATGAAACAGCTGTGGTAATTACTAAGGCAGTGAAACTGATCAAATCACCTGTGCAAAATAATGGAAATCCTGAAAACATGACCTGTTGGGGGTCCATGAGGACTGGAGTTGAGAAACACTGATTTAGGCCAACTTGGCCCAAATTAACTATGTAAAGGGACATTAACCTCCCTGGCGGTAACCCCGAGCCACACTCAGGATTACAATGTAGTGTGTAGTGTAACTTACCTTGTCCCTGCAATCCCCTGATGTTCTCCGGCCGATGCTGACATCTGTCTTCTGGGTTCCTTTCCCTGCGAGCGCCATGACACGGGGGGGGCTAAACCAACGGGAGATTAAAAAAAGTAAAGACATGCACAAAATACATTGTAATCTGTTAGGATTACATTACTGTATTAAACAATTTCACCTCAATTTTGTCCAGTGCCCTGCCTGCACTTTTTAACTGTTCTTTTTGCCTGGAAAATTGAACTTCCATGGCATCCAAAAAGCGTCCCTTTTTAGGTCAAAAGCGGTTTTAGACCAGCTAGAAATCAGCGATGGTGAATTAGAATCACTTGCAGAATTGAGCGATAGTGATTCGTGGAGAAATTTGTCATCACACTGAAATTTCCATGCAAAACAATATACCACTTTGATATTCAAAAATATTGCCATAATCAAACCGCCAGGGAGGTTAAACATGGAGATAATCTTTAATGATTGCAATAGTGCCTTTTGTGGTCACCTTTTTAACATGAGTGTGAATTCGGTAGCCAACGAGTTTTTTTTTTTTTTTTTTTCTTAAAGCCAAGTAATGGTCCAAAGGCAGCGTCCGGCATTGATGTTTCCAAAGGGACTGTATGCCATGGAGGAGATTCGTTACTGCAAATCCTACATCGCTTCCGTCGATCACCTAATGAAGGCATTAAAGTTGGTTTAATAGGTATGAAAGTGTGTGGTGGTAAAGTTATACAGAAAATGAGCAGATAAGAGAAATGAGGAGAACAGCAGCAAAAAGTCTGATGTCTTTGATGACTGTCAGATCCAACTCTGATCTCATTTATTTGTTATGCTTGTGTAATCTAGTTTTTTTCCAATTTAGGAGACCTGTATATATGTAATTCATATTGGCAAAATGTTGAGGTAGTCAAGCAAATCAACATCAGCAAGAAACATTTACAACTCCAAAAATTACATTAAAAATGTTATTTTTTTTACAAAAGCATTCAAAAGTTAAGGATGAAAATCTATTCCATTGATTACAAGAATATATATAAAGCACAAATAATTACCCCTATTTCTGTCAGGCAGAGTGTTTGGCAGAAACCTATGTGGGTCTTTCATCTGGAGGCCTTTTACCTCAGTGAGCCAGGCGCCTATATTAGATGTGTATTTTTGGAGGTGATGAATTCAGCTGATAATGGTCTGGTATGACTCCCCAATTGTTGTGGTTATATATGCTTTCAGACATGTATGCATAAGATTAAATGTATGAGATACATTTAATCTTCTGCATATCATTTACAGAGAAGCGTCCTCTGTACAATGTGTCCTTTTCACCTGCAGATAAGCCTATAGTCTTACATTCTGGTGCATGCTAGGAATCAAGTATTTCTCCAGCAGGATTTTTCTACAGCATATGAAGACTTGTTTGGTGTTCTTCATGAAATAGTGAAACATTTTTCAATGCAAGAGAAAACGCCAACACTCTGTGCTGCACTTGCTAGATCTTACAGTCTTGATTGAATAGTGTATGGGGGACGTAAAATAATTTGAAATCATCAGCATGTGGATCTACAAAACTGCATATAGGTAAAAAAAAACATGAACAATTTGTGTAAAAGGTATATACCTAAAAAAAAAAAAAAAAAAAAAGTGTGTATGCTTTGCTTTTTTTTTTTTTTTTTTCCCTATCGCACACTATATAATCCCGGAGGTAAGGTTGTAATTGGTTTGTTGCTAACACAGTTGGCTGGGGGAAGGCTGCTTTCTGAGCAGGCTGGGAACCCAAGTGTGCTACAAAAGAGAAAAGGGATGGGGAGAGAGGCATCAGGCTGCCAATAGTTTAGCGATTTTTATTAAAATGCATTTTTGTATAAAATGCAATAATTATGCACTCGCTGGTAACGAGCTTTGAATAAAGCTCCAAATAGAGACATCAGTCCAAGGCCCAGTGCCCACTGTAAGCAGCTCTGTGAAGCCGAAGCAGGAATTTAAGCAAGCCGCCGGGGAGACCCTGCTGGAGACCGGAGCTGTCAAATGTCCAGGGTCCTGTGACCAATTGGAACGTGTTTTGGAGGCCAAATTGCACCACCTTCATCAGCCTGACATTTACCCTAACCACCAGGGATTATATACTTACTGCCATAAGCCCTATAGTGCCCAAAACAATTATTGGCATAAGGACATTGAGGGAGCAGAGCAGTAAAACAGTATTATTAGAACATAAAGTATTATACACTATAATTAAAGTTAAATAGATATGTATATAAAGTTAAATATACATCTTGTTGGTATCACATATGTGGATAAACATAAAATTACTGAATTCTATATGGATGCATGTGTACACACATACATACATACATACATACATACATATGTACGTGCACAGATGCATGCCTACAATACACATACATATTTTTTCCCCTTTATGAGAATAAACCTCATTAACCATATCGGAAAACAATGCAGCAATCAAGAGCGAACATTATTTATATTGAATAATATTTATATTTAACGTTGATTGAGTATATTCCTTTGTTATAATGCTGTTTTTCTGCTATGCTCCCTCAATGTGCCTATGCTGATAATTGCTTTGAGCACTATAGGGTTAATGACTGAGTATTCAATCTCTGGAGGTTAGGGTAAATGTCAGGCTGATAGAGGTGTGATTTGGCCTCCAACGCGTTCTGATTTGGTCACTGCACCCTGGACATTTGACCGCTCTGACAGATCTGGTCTCCAGCAGGTTCTCCCCACTAGCTTGCTTGAATCCCTGCTTCGGCTTTACAGCACTCCTGACAGTGGCACTGATGTGGGCTGGACTGATGTCTCCATTTAGAGCTTGATTCCAGCTCATTACCAGTGATGTCTGTGAGTGCATAATTATTGCATTTGATGCCCTTTTTTTTTTTATTTAATAAAATTTGCTACACTATTGACTGCTTGGTGCCTCCCTCACCATCCCTTTTTTTTTTTTCTCTTTTTGAAACATTTTTCAGTTTGATATTAGCATCTTTATTTAGTCCAATGAATATAGGACACACCCGTAGCACATAATTTGTGTAACCTTTTCCTTCCTCTTCACTGAAGACAGAGTACACCTCTCAAGGGTTAACCCTGCCCTCAAGAGGATTTGAGCTATGGGGAAAAAACTTTCACTTTAAAGGGTTAATTTACAGGCACTTTATCTTATGGAAAATGAAGCACCCTTTTCAATATTTTTGTTCCAGGATTTTCAAATGTTGGAAAGAGCAGCATAATTAACAGCCTGAAGCAGTTCAGAGTGTGTAATGTTGGTGCGTTGAAAGGCACTACAAGGTAAGAGCCTTAGTCTAAGACTGATTTCATGACTGTCCTTGTTTTTTAATGAGGTGTTTGATGACCGATTGGGTCCATTCAATCCAACTCTGAACCTTTTGAGTTATTTTCATTTGTTCTGTATCGGAGGTCTCCAAACTTTCCTAGCAAAGGGCCAGGTTACTGTCCTTCAGACGTTCGTGGGGCTGGACTGTGACCAGTGCGATTAGATAATGCCTCAGGCTTGGTGGTCAGCAGGATTAAAATAAATGCTTAGTGCCCCCATCGTTGGTGTCAGTGGGAGGAATAGTGCGCCCACCGTTGGTGTCAGTGGGAGGAAGAATGTCCCAATGGTTGGATAAAGGCAAACTTCTTCTCCGCATGCCTCCATAGCAAGCCGACTGCTGCGAGAGCACTTTAGCAGACATGCACCCAAGCCAGGCTGTGTGCGTCCACAGATGCACAAATCATGACTCTGCTAAGCGCCCTGCTTTTTCCTTACAGGATTTTACTGATAGTAGCTGGAGCTAATGGCTCCCACTGCTATCAGTCTCCTATGAATACAGGGAAAAAGGGAGTAGAGCTGGTATTGAAGGTGTGGTGTGTTTTTTTTTTTTTTTTTTTTTTTTGTTTTGTTTTGTTTTTTTCCTTTGCGGAGAATGCATTAAGGAAAAAAAAACCCTTTTTTCTTTATTTAGAACCACTTTTAAATGTGATTCTATAGGCTTTCAATTTTTTTTTTTTTTTTTATCTTCAGGATCATTCAAGATGTAAATGTTGACCAAGTACTTAAAGTGACTGACAGTCCCAGTTTTGTGGTGTCTTCTGATAATCCACCTGCCACTCTAGCAATGAGAAATGTGTTTCCAAAGGAAGATGATGACCTTTTGGAGAATGTTAGGGTGATTATAAAACATTGTGACAAACAGCAGGTGCGTGAAGTTTTTATACAGATTTTACTCCTCCCTAAAAAAAAAAACTGATTTTGTTTTAATTGTTGCTCAGCTTAAGGTCTCATGCACACTGGGCTTCTGGCATTTTTTTTTCTACAGCCAGTAAATTCCCCAGTATGTTATCCTTTGTATCCATGCACACACAGGCTTTAATAAGCTTTTTTTGACTGGGATGTTTTTGTGGCTGGGGAAAAAAACAGAACTTGTGGATTTCAAGAGGGATTTTTTAATTTTAGCTTTAAAAACACTCTAACACTGGTCAACGCCTTAGGCCTCATGCACACTAAACGTTCTGAAAACACCAGTAGCATTGGCTGTAAAATGCCACGTTTTGCTGTGTTTTTGCATTAGCATTTTTAGCAAAACTACTCCCACACAAGCTTGAGGTTCTCAAACGCTGGATAGCCACGGTTTGCAGCGTTGGTGGTTTTACAGCTAAAAAACTCCTCTTCAAACTCAGTAGTTCTGGGGTTTTTCCCAGCCTGAAAATGCCACTGCCCAAAACTGCTGATATAAGCCTATGTGTGCATGGACACACAGGATAACATGCTGGGGAGTTTACTGGCTGTAGAAGGAAAAAGAGCCCTAAACAGCAGCTGTAAAAATGCTCTGTGTACATGAGGCATAAAGCACACCTGTAATGAGAGAAATCTGTGTTGTCTTCAGAAAATGTTAGTAGCCACACTGTCTGGCTTAAATACTTTTGAACCACTAAATGAAAATAAATATGGTACAAATGAAAATATTAAAATATTAGCTCCTTTTTTGCTCTACGTTTTTCATGTTGGATAATTAAATCATTGAAGCTGTATCCAGACTGCCATGGAACTAGCATTTTCAGAAGTCTGTATTGGCATACTCTTTTCTCATGACTGGTGTATACGATTGTTAGATTTGTTACCCAACGGAACTTCATCGTTAGAGTACTTCCACACTGTCTCCAGACAGGAAATAAGAAATTTGACCAAATAGTGAAAAGAATGCTTCCTCTTGAAAAGTATGTCAATTTATGATTAAAAATGTCATTGCAGAGGTTTTCAGCATCAAGATTTTAAAGGCCACCTTGACTCAATACTTTGTTAAACTGAGATAGGCCCATACTGTGGCAGCTCCCTGGACCTCTTCTGTGAGCTTCATGTGCATTGCAGTTGAACTGGCACTCCATGGGTGCCTTGCCAACCTGCTCAGGAGGCCTTTTTAAACCATTCCCCATTCTGCCTGCTGCTTCAAGACAAGCTTTTGATTTAATATCTGCATTTCTGCTTGCAATATGTATAGGAATTGTTGGAGACTCTTGTGCACTTTTTAGTGAATTGACCTCCTCTGTAATTCTTTTGCCCCCAGCCACCTCCAAATCTCCAAATTAATTTTTTAGCTGCTGTGGTCTTCCTATTCGAGGTTGCTGCATTAAGTTCTTCATGGTCCCACTGTAGGTAGGAACGTAGATACCCTCTCCTGAGATGAACTAGAAACTCTGAACTGTGGAATTTGTGGAGAGTGTTCCAAGCAAATGGAAGTGTGCGTGAAAAGGAGAGGTTTGGAGCTCAGGACATCATAAGGAGGCAGAAAACAGTGTGTACAAAAAAAAAAACTAGGGGATATGTAGTCAATATTTTTGGGGAGGAAAGTGTTATGTTTAGTGTCATGTATAATCATTTTAATATTGTGAACATATACATTTATCGAAAAGACTCAGCATTTTTAAAATGTGGGAAAGAAAATAAGAAAACCATATATATATATATATATATATATATATATATATATATATATATATATATATATATATAAAAAAAAATCTTTCATCAAATAATTGGTCCTGATTCAAACATGCTGACTTGTGCATAGACACAGGGCATTTCATTTTTGGTATAATGCACATTTGCAAAGCAGAATTAAAACCATTCATCTACAGGGAAGATGACAAATAAGGCTTATCTTGATTGTCTGCTTGCTGGTTTTGTAGGCTACTTTTGAATGTGTTGAATACATCCCCTTCTCTTTTTTTTTTCTCTAGACCATGTTGCAATATAATGTTTCAGACTTCAGGAATTCCCTGGAGTTTTTAGACCTACTTGCCCGCAGGAGAGGCCTACTGATGAAGGGTGGAGTAACTAATGTGCAAGGAGCAGCCAGATTGTTCCTGGATGACTGGATGGGGTGAGAATATTTTTACCGTTTGTTTAACCACTGGGCCCTCCTGAGGATTTACCCCCCCCCCCCCCCCCCCCCGATCCGATCCATTTTTTTTTTTTGCGTGACGGCGCTGCATTACTTTAACTGACAATTGCGCAGTCATGCAATGCTGCACCCAAATAGAATTTTTTTTTTTTTTTTCCATGAACTGACCTTTCTTCTGGTATTTGATTGCCTTTGCTTTTTTTTTTTTTTTGCACTATATAAAAAACAATACTTTTTGCTATTTAAACATGTCCAGTAAAAAAAAGTTTAAATCACATTTCATCATAGATTTACGCCAAAATGTATTCTGCTACATGTCTTTGATAGGAAAAAAAATTTACGTGAAAGTTATAGCGTTAACAAATGGTGGTATAGATACTGGAATATATATATATATATATATATATATATATATATATATATATATATATATATATATATATATTTTTAACCCACTTCCCTTCCAGCCGCTGTTTATAAACGGCAGGACGGGACACCTACAGGAGCGGGTTGCCGTCTCTAAACGGCACCTTCTATCCGAGGCTCATGCGCGGCTCCTAGAGTGCGCACCCGCGAGCCCGATGATCGCCGAGTCCGACGGACACGGTGGATTACGTGACATGGTATGGGACCAATGAAATCGGTCCCATACCATGTGATCAGCTGTGTCCAATAAGGACACAGCTTAAGTGTAAACAAAAGCCGCATGGTGCGGCTTCCGCCTCCTTCTCCTCACACGGAGTTGTCTGTGAAAGGAGAAACATCGAAGAATAGGTTGTAGCTAACTGCCCTCCACCTCAGTGACACCTGATCGCCCCAACAAGTGGCCCCGATCGCCAGTGGCCCCGATCGCCAGTGGCCCCGATCGCCGCACAAGTGTCCCGGCAGTGTCCCCGATCGCCGCAGTGTCCCCGATCGCCACACAAGTGGCCCGGCAGTGTCCCCGATCACCGCAGTGTCCCCGATCACCATACAGTGTAGTGTGCCTGTTCATAAAGTGTCCCTGATCTCTGCCACACCAGTGGATCCTGTTCACTGCCATCGTCTGTGAGGAGAGAGATCCAGTACAGCTAACTGTGAGTAATTTTCAGCCTTTGCACAGAGTTTACACACACTCACAAAACATTGCCAGCCACCTCACTGTATCTCTGATTTTTGCCCAACAGTGACTAGTGTGAACCAACTGCAGCCAGATATCTGTCCCTCACTGCAACACCATCCTGATCACTGCCATACCAGTGGGTCCTGATCAGTGTCAAAAATATGGCCAAAAGATCATATACAAGCGAGGAGGCATTTCAAATTCTGAGTATGACAGATGAGAGTGACGGAGAACTTAAAACATACCTTGGGGTGTTTGCTTTCCAAAATGGGGTCTTTTTGTGGATAATTCAATTGTCCTGATGCTCCAGGGCCTCCAAAACAGCAATAGGTAGTTAAGAAATTAGATGTGCGATCTTTGCCCTTAGAACGCTAACAGGTGCTTATTGGATGTGGAACCCCTCTATGTGGCCAGACTGTGAAAAAGTCTCACACATTTGGTATCGCCATATTCAGCAGGAGTTAAAGAATGCGTTTTGAGGTATCATTTTAAGTATGCCTATGCTGTGTAATAGAAATATCTCATAGATTGACAACTTTGCATAAAAAAAAAATACATTTTAATTTTCTTTTCACATTTTCCAAAAACATGTGGCAAAAAATGAAGTCTTCAGAGGACTCCCCATGCCTCTTAAAACATACCTTGAGGTGTTTTCTTTCAAAAATGGGGTCATTTTGTGGGTAATTCAATTGTCCTGGTGCTCCAGGACCTCCAAAACTGTGATACAGTCAAGAAATTAGATGTGTAATTTTTGCCCCTAGAATGCCTAAGGGTGCTTATTGGATGTGGGGCCCTTCTATGTGGTTAGGCTGTGAAAAAGTTTTACACATGTGGTATCGCCATACTCAGGATGAGTAGCAGAATGTGTTTTGGGGTGTAATTGCAAGTATGCCTATGCCGTGTGAGAGAAAGAACTTGTTAAATGACAACTTTGTGGGAAAAAAAAAAAAGAATTTTTTTTTTACTTTCATCATTTCCTTAAAAAATTGGCAAAAAATGAAAACTTCAAAAAACTCCCCATGCCTCATTAAATACCTCAGACTGTCTACTTTCCAAAAAGGGGTCGTTTGGGGGGTATTTGTACTGTCCTGGCATTTTAGGGCCCCAAGAAATTATATAGGTAGTCCGTGCATCAGGATTGATACATTTTCAAATATATCAAATATATATACCGTGGTCTGTGGACTCTATAACTTTCACAAAGACTAAATAATACACACTGATTTGGGTTATGTCTACCAACAAAATGTAGCAGAATGGATTTTGGCCTAAATTTATGAAGAAAGTATATTTATTTGCAAAATTTAGTATCAAATACTAAGAAAAACATGTTTTTTTTTTTTTTTTTCAAAATTTTCAGTCTTTTTTCATTTTTCTAGCAAAAAATAAAAACCCCAGTGATGATTAAATACCACCAAATTAAAGCTCTATTTGTTTGAAAAAAATGATAATAATTTCATTTAGATACAGTGTTGTATGCCTGAGTAATTGTCATTCACAATGTGAGAGCGCCGAAAGCTGAAAATTGGCCTGGACAGGAAGTGGTTAATAGCGGGACTGCGGCATGCATTCTGATATTTGAGGTTAAAACTGACTTGGTGTCACGGACATCCCTAGTGACACCAATACAGTGATCAGTGCTAAAAAAAGACACTGGGCAGGAAGGGGCTAACATGAGGGGCGATCAAAGGGTTAACTGTGTGCTGGGATTGTTTTACTGGAGGGCGGTGTGTTGGTTCTTTACTGTAAGCACACTGCACAGCCATCCAGACCAGTGTGCCCGAGCCGACAGGGAGGACGACTGTTAGTAAACAAAGCAGCCCTCCTCCCAGTCGGAGATCCTCGGTAATCATCGGTCAGGACCCGGTGATTGATGGCCGCGAATGGCGGCGCGGGTAGGGCTTGCGCGTCCCCTACCCGTAAGAACGAAATCACGTGTGTATATATACATGATTTTGCGCACCCCTGCCGCCTTGTGGCAGTATATCTGCTATAGGGCAGTCGGGAAGAGGTTAACCACTTGCCTACCAGGCACTTATACCCCCTTATTTACCAGGCCAATTTTCAGCTTTCAGCGCTGCCGCACTTTAATTGACAATTGCGCGGTCATGCAACATTGTACCCATATGAAATTTTGATCATTTTTTTCTCACAAATAGAGCTTTCTTTTGGTGGTATTTAATCGCCGCTGGGCGCTTTACTTTTTGCGCTATAAATAAAAAAAAGTGCAAAAAATTTGAAAAAAAAAAGTTTCTTTGTTTCTATTATAAAATTTTTCAAACAGGTATTTTTTCTCCTTCACTGATGTGCGTTGATGAGGCAGCACTGATGGGCACTGATAGGTGGCACTGATGGGCACTGATAGGCAGTACTAATGAGGTGGCACGGATAGGCGGCACTGAAAGACAGCACTAATGAGGTGTCACGGATAGGCGGCACTAATATGCAGCACTGATAGGCGGCACTGATAGGTGACACTGATGATGGGTACTGATAGACGGCACTGACTGGCAGCACTGACTGGCACAACCCCTGGGCACTGACTGGTGGCACTGACTGGGGGCACTGGTGGGCGGGCACTGGTGGGCGGGCACTGATGGGCGGGCACTGGTGGGCGGGCACTGGTGGGTGGCACTGCTGGGCACAGGTGTGTGACACTGCAGAGTGGCACAAGTGGGTGATCTGCTGGGCACAGGTGGGCGGAGCTAGTGGGCGCACTGCTGGGCACAGGTGGGCGGAACTTGCGGGTGGCACTGCTGGGCACAGGTGGGCGGAACTTGCGGGTGGCACTGCTGGGCACCGATCATCACGGCACTGATAATCAGTGCCCTGATGATCGGTGCCGATCCCCGCTCTGACAACTGCCGGTTCTCGGCAGTACTTTCCTCACGATCTGACAGCATGAGGAAAGTGCAGCCGAGAACCGGCACTTGCATTTCCCTCTGATCACCGCGTCATTGGACACCGCTGATCACGTGGTAAAAGGCCGCTGTGATTGGCCTTTTACCACATCACGTGATCAGCTGTGTCCGTAGGACACAACGATCACGGAGATCGCCGGGTGCGCGCCCCCTGGGGCGTGCAGGAGAGCGCGTTCTGGGAGGACGTCATATGACGTCCACTCAGAACTAGCCGGCCGCAGTGAAGCCGTCATTCGGCTATCTGCGGTCGGCTACTAGTTAAACAACACATTTCCGTTAGATGTCTGTGAGGTCCTAAAAAGAAATACGTTTGTTTTTCTACAGAGCCAGGCTTAGTTATCATACTCAGCCACCTTCTTCGTCTAGCTGCCACATCAGCAATGAGCAGATGGCTACAATGAGAAAAGGGGTTAGCCTAAAAGCTCTGGATGAACACAATAAGAGCATTATTAAAGGTAAGCTTCATTACATGGCACACCCTGCTTTGGCTGCTGGCATCCATTTATTGATAAAGGTTTGTTGTGGGCAAGCACGATTTCGAAACCCATTAGGTTGCAGTGTTCTCCCTAGAGGATTTAAGCTGGACTTTCCACCAAGCTATTTTCAGTTATTGAATTGCTGCTCAATGCCTCAGGGAATCTATAGAGGCATGTGTACTGCTGCCATACTCATTCTGTCATACAGAGGAGTCTGTGTGTACAGGGAGTTCACAACTATGGACTCTGTGAGCCATTCTGCAAGTGCCTGTGTCCTAATTGCACACTGTGCTCGCACATATTATTGAGATGCAACACAACTAGGACTATCACACTGGCCGTTCTGCCACTGGTTAAATCTAAGAGGTGGTTGGCCTGTTTTCCAATGATGGCGGTGTTAGAGAGGGAGCAATGCTGCAGGAGCAGGTAAATACTAATACGGCAATTAAAGTGATACTAAACGCACACTGTTTAATTTTACATTGTCCCTTCTATTTCTGTATGTGGATGATGGCACTGTAATTATTTTATTAAAACAAATTTAGTTACCGGTTTCCTAGTTTTATATTCAGCTGTCACATGACCCAGAACTTTCCCAGCTTGTCTGCAGGGAAACATAAACAGGAGGAAAATCTTGTCGTCTGCTGCTGGTCACACGTTCTAAATAAAGCCTTTGAGATACAGAACAAAAATATCAAACAGTTTTAAATTGGCATACAAATATATATTTGAAATCAAATCTTTGTTTTGTGGTAATAACATGGTGTGGGTGGATTTTGGCAGTCACAGGCTGTGTCACGCTCCTCTAGCCTATATCTTAGAATAAGAGGGAGGTGAAGCCACCATTAATCTACATATAATGTTCTGCCCCCATCGTGTTTAGCTGGTTAGTGGGCATGGAGGAGAAAAAATGGAAAAATTTTTTTTTTTTATTGTGTTCATTATTGTAGTCTTGTAACATTTCCATTTTCTCTGTGATTCTACACTATACCCAGTTATTTAAGGTAGATTTTCATTAAAGACGCTTCATTCAGTGCTTGACATGCCTGCTAGAATTTAATTCAAGACTGAGTCAAACTTCTTTGTGTGTGTTTAGTGCTAATGTAAGCTGCATATGATGGGTGTTTTGCTGTCCTGCAGCCTTGAGGTGCCCAAGTCCTGCCAGCAGTATTGCGTTTCACTTCTCCCATATGACCAACGGTATACTAGATGATACTGAAATAGAGGAACAAAACCCAGAGCCTGAAGAACAGGAAAGTGATGATGAGGAGGAAGAGGAAGACGACAAAGATGCTGATGAGGAGGAGGAGGAACAGATGGAGGACGAGAGTGGTGAAGAGGTAAAATACTTGAATGTCGGTACAGAACCTACAAAGTTTGGTTAATAATTCTAGAGTAAATGCTTAACTTCATATGTGTAAATATAACAATTTGATTACCTTGTGCAGTCAGGATACTTTAAAAAAAAAAATATTAAACTAGTGCATATAATTTCTGTTGTGTACATTTGTCTTGCAGAAAAAACCAGAAAGGGTTTCTTTGACATCTTCAACTAAACAAACAGGTATGTGCTGATAAATTGGAACGTCAAGCTGTGACCACAAGCATGCCTGAATAGGAATGTTGAATTCGTATTGCCCGACGCCCAGGACATGTCGTTTTTAATTATAACTTTAGCCCTGCTGCTGGCAAGCAGCAGGGCTCATTTGGCAGTTGCAAGCATTCGGGCAGCAGCGTTGCCGCCGATTGCTTCCACACAGTGCCAGCCTCTCTCCCCTGTGTGAGGTCTCCCGGGCTCCACTTCCCCATCTGCGGGCCCGAGACTGGCTCACCGCCGTCTGCTACAGGGCAGGAAGGAGATCGGACACGTCTGTTCCCCTCCCCTTCTTGTCCTGACTCGGAAGTGACGTTATGATGTCACTTGCGGGTCCCCATTGAAAGATTTCCCAGCCATTGAGGCCGAGAAAGGAATGTAATGCAGTGCGATCTGTATTACATTCAAGGGAGGCATCCAGCATGAAAAAAATGAAAATTAAGTAAAAAAAAACTAATAGTAAATCTATTGCACATAACATATATGCACGTACAAATGTAAAAGCACACGGTGGGGCGCCTACGCATGGAAACGTTGATTGCGACACATTGCATATCACCGCGCACGCCAGGATGAGAGCAATAATTCTAGTATGAGACCGCCTCCATACACTATACTGATGACCTATAAGGGGCTTTAAAAGGGTCTCCTATAGAAAATATAGGGTACTAAAGTACATCACCATTTCATGAGCACACGTAAATTTAAGGTTTGACGTGTTTGGTATCTATTTACTCGATGCAGCCTCATCTTTTATATTTAACAAAAAAATAGGATGGTTTTATTTTATTTTATATTTTTTTGGTGCCCTAAAATTAACTTGTATTCTTTACTGAAATTTTGCAGTAATATCATGCGACATAAAACATTGGAACTACCACTATTTTATTCTCTAGGGTCTTTGCTTTCATGTTATATTTGGGGATTTATGTAATCTTCAGGCCTAAAATTATTTCTTATACTTGTGCCAAAAACGGCTTTGGCAGCGAAAGGGATAAAGAATCAGCCTGACACTCCCCTTTCCTGAGAAACATCCAATTGGTGCTCATTACACTGCAAGGTCTCTCCCCTCCTTGCTAGTTTCCCGGGGGTGGGGCTGGAGACACAGGGAGAGGAGAAGATAAACAGCTCAATGTTAAAATTATTACAAGTTTAAGTCACCATAAAGCACCTTTTTGTTTTTAAAAGCCCCAGACCTTCTTAAAATCACCTCCGATTTAAATACAGTTTTTGTTAAAAAAAATTTTTTTATCGCGACATGTAAACTGTCATGAGGAGCAAGTAATTTGAGATACCGATTTTAGTCCCTGGACAAGTAGTTTTTTCAAAAATTTCCACACCCCTGCTGGATCTTGCAGATATACAAAGTTTTATTTATTTTTTATTTTTTTTCTTTTAACACAAGCAGTGCAAGTACCTGACTTTGACTTTTTGTAATTTCCTTTACAGCAGATCTCAGACTTAGGGTTAGACAATCACCACAGAGACAGTCAGTTGTCCTGCAGTGCTTATGTGCTGACAGTAGGAGACAGCAGAGCGGCAGAAAGATAATCTCACCAATGCACTGCTTCTTTCAGTGGCCTTTCACTTGCTGAGGAAGAGCAATAACTAAGTGAGTGAGAGAGAACTATATTTTGTTTGCTTGGCGTTCACTGTTAAGTGATAGGACAAGCAATGTGGTGTTTCTCTCACTACTGTTATGTGGTTGCTATAACCCACATTCTGTATCCAAATGTAGTTTTTTGGTTACTATGCACAGCTACACCAGATTCTGTGTGCACAAGTTTAAAGTGTTACTAAACCCGCAACAGTAAAATCGGTCCGTATAGGCAGTAAAGCATGCTTGGTATACTCGCTGTGGAACCTAAAGGGTTAATCCTCCACATTGTGTAAAAAGGCTGTTTGATCCTGACTTCTCTGCCCCTCTTGTTCAAATGTCTTGCTGATAAAACAGACTGAACCTGTAGCCCTTCTGCACATGCTCAGTTTAGTGTGTATTGCTAGAGAGCTTTTTTATTTCTTTTTTCTTGGGAGAGTGCATCTGATCAGCACTGTCCAGACAGAGGTCAGGGGTTTTGCATCCTCCTATAGCAGAAAGAAAACTCCTACAAGCTTTAACCAGAGCAGGCTTGTGACTTCAGCTGAGCCCTAACTGCAGATGAGAAAAGGTATTTAGCAGTTTATATTTACTAATATAATTGCACTACCATGTTCTGTGTACTGTGGGAGACCAGATAGTGTTACTTAAACCCAGGACCCTGCATTCACTCTAAGTAAAACTCCCCCTTTGCCTTTCTCTCCATGACGAGAGGTTGGAGTTCTAGTTGAATGTCCTGGATTCTGACTGGTGACATGCATTTGATTGCAATTTACTTGCTGTACCCACCGCCACCTCTCCTCTGGCTTCTACATGGTAGTAAAATTACATTGTAAATGATTCATTGATGGTAATATCTGTATGCTACTGTCAGATTGTTATATTTTTATTTTTTGTTTAAGCCTTTAGCTACCAAAGAGTTTTTTTTTTGTTTGACCTGTGAAAAAAAAAAAAAAAAGAATTTAAAGCCGGAAGTTTAATTAAGAACCTCAAAACATATATTTCCTGAAAGCAGACATCCTGGAGAATGAAATGGTGTTACTGCCAGTTTGTCACATATTAGTGCACTGGTTTATCAGGTGCAACATATCAAAAAATACACTAAAGTTAATTTTGGGGCATACAAATACAATGTATTAACCAGTTTTGCTAAAATATGCAAAAGATGAGGTTGCACTGAGTAAATACCCAACATGTCAAGCTTTAAAGGAGAGAAGTTCAACTTTTGTAACATGTTATTCATTTTGAGCTGTCACAATTAAAAATAAATGTGGCTTTGCGGTGCTCCACCCGCCTGATCGTGTCATTCTTTCACAGTATTCTGTGAATGGGAAAACTACAAGTCCAGACAGCCTTCGTGGCTGACAGCTTGTAGTTCTCAGTGAACTAGCACAGTGATGATGAGCGCTGTGGTAGTTCATTGATTATTCCTGGCAGTGTGTATCTGCTTGCCTGTAGGAGGTACAAGCCCACAGACACACTGGGTGTGCCATTGGGAGCGCTTTCTGGGAGTGCCTGGAAGGACCACTGCTGTCAACTTATGACATATTTTGGTGGCAGCGAAAGGGTTAAAGGGGACTTGAGGAAAGTGGATATCATTTTTTTTTTTTTTTCTATTGGTTTTTTCTCTGTAAGGATATTAAAGCATCCCTACTTCTTGCAAAATCCTTATTAATGTTCAAAGTGAAGTACAAAAATACAATTGCCCATGGAATCGAGCTTCGCGGACCTATAGGGAATAATGCTTTTATTGTCCAACTGCAATGCAACATATTAAACTACAGTTTTCTGTCTTGAAAATTGCATGGAAAAGGCTAATGTGGAAAAGAACATCTGTGTTTCTATTTGGTGTTCCCATGGCAGTGTATCTCAAGGTTTCTTAGAAATACCTTCTAATATCAGAAATCGGTTACCATTCATTCACATCAAACATTGTAATAATACTTAAACAGTTTTTTGTTTTAATATTGAGGCAAAAAAAGTTATTTTTGGAACATTTTATTTCGGTACAATTTTGGTTTTAATTGTCCATAGTGGGAAGATGGTTCAGAATGTTAAAGCTAAGGAAAATAAAATTGATCTTTGCTGTGGGGCTCCCCCTACACTGCAAAAGTTAAATGCTCATTTCATCTAGGTACAGATATAACCACTATACATGCAATATTCCTCACGCCCCAGACAGCTGGTGCTCTACTCCTGACTGCGATTTTTCGAGTTGTGGATGAGTCCTCTGTGACCTTGCTTACAATGGAGGACTGCAGGTCCTGTGTATGTGGTAATGTCTTCAGTTTCTGCAACCAAAAGAGCATTGATTGTGCAGCTGGGAGGAAGTGAGAAATAAAGGGTGTGTGTACACAATATATATTTAACCCCTTACAGTAGGGCTCCCCAAGGGCCATTTTTTTTTTTCTTCAGTTCAGATTCAAGTTATACCCTAAAAAGAAATAATATTCATCCTTATTTGGCACCCACACTGCGTTAAGTTTGATTCTTGTGTTGTGAAATTATTTTTTTTTTCTAAAAACAGATTCTGTAAAGGAAAGTGCTGTTAAGTCGGTCCGTTTTGATAAACTGGAAGAAGATCCTGATGATACGTATGACTTCAATACTGATTTCAACTGAGAAACCATCAGTACTTGACGTGTTGGACACGTGGTTAACGCTTATTGTGTGCAAGTAAAGACATTTCTTATTCAAGTCTAGAGAAGGACTTGATGGTGATGTAAAATGACTGGCTATTGTATATGGTGGATTCTATGAATCTCTGAATGACTGATGTATACAAAGCTCTAGTTTTGGATGGTGTATTACCATATAAAACACATTTGTTCCAATTGCGTGTTTATTTCATGTTCCTTGCAGTTAAAATATTGCATGGCTCGATAATTTTATACTCACGATTTTTCAGCAAGGTTCTTAACAACCCCCCCCCCCCCCCGACCAGGCCACCTTTTTTTAGCTGTTCGGCACTGCGCTATTTCAGCTGGTAAATGCGCAGTCGTGCAATGCTGTACCCAAATTTATTGCAATTTACATAGCTTTTACTTTCTGACTGCCTTTCACATTTCTTGAGGTGCTAAAATGCCAGGGCAGTACCTGCCCCCCCCCCCCCCCATGACCCCTTTTTGGAAAGTAGACACCCCAAGGATTTTACAGCGGCATGTTTAGTCCATAGAATATTTTATTTTTTGCTACACATTTTTTTTGAATATGCCTTTTTTTTTTTTTTTTTTTTTTTTTAACACACAAACTTGTCACTTTAATGATATACCCATGGCATTAATGAGCAATATATGTGGAATAACACCCCAAAACACACTTTTCTACTTCTCCCAAGTATGGGGATACCACATGTGAGAGACTTTTTGGCAGCCTAATTACATACAGGCCCCCAAAATCCAATGTCCAGCTCCAGGCTTTCAAAGGGCATATTTCCTCATATCACTTCTCCCACTACCTATCTCAGTGCGGAGGCTCTAAAATGCCAGGATAGTATACACCCCAAGGACTTTGATAAGAAGCATGGGGAGTATTTTACAGATATAATTTTTGTCACAGGGTTTTGAAAAAAAAGAACATTTTTTGGTTTTCTTCATTTTCCAAAAACGTTGCATCAAATTAGATCTGTAAAACACTCATCATGCCTCTTAGCAAATACCTTGGAGTGTCTTCTTTCCAAAAAGGGGTCATTTGCTTCTACTATCCTGGCATTTCAGGGCCAACATTAGACTATGCCCCACATCACCCGCTTTTGAAGACCAAGCCTTTTCTGACACTTTGTTTACATGAAAACTTTTTTGCTAGAAAATTACTTTGAACCCCAAAACATATTTTTTTTTAAAAAAAAGCAGAGGTCCTAGAGCATAAAATGATGGGTGTTGAAATTTTTATATCGCACAGTATTTGCAAATTTTAATGCACAAAAACACAATATATTGCCCAATTGTTTGATTAAAAAAATAAAAGATATGCTGAGTAAATAGATGCCAAACATGACATGCTTTAAAATTGTGCATGCCCTGTGTAATGGCAACAAAGTACATACATTTTTATTATTGATAGGCGACTTTTTAAAAGCCTTTACAGATCACGAATTTATATTTACACAGGAGGTCTAGTGCTAGAATTACTGCCCTCGATCTGGCGTTCGTGGCAATACCTCACATGCATGGTGCAACTACTGTTTTCAGACGTGCAGGGGGTCAATGCTTGCGCATACAGGGGGGAAAGGGTGCTTTTATTATTTTTACACTGTCCCTCTTCATTATTATTACTTTTTTTTTTATATATTACTTTTAATGCTATCACAGGAAAGGCAAATATCCCTTATAACCTCAATGGGCATCGTCATATATTCTTTTTTTGAGAAATCTGGGGTCTATCAGACTCTAGATATCTCCTCTGCCCTAACATCTAATCTCACCAAGATTGGTGTGGTCAGATACTTTCCCAATTTACAAATGGTGCTTTTTATATCCTGTGAAGCTGTAATGAAATGCTCGTAGCTTCTGATTTCTTAGGCTATAGAGATGATTGGAGCCAGTTTGGTCTCTGACCAGCTCTATGGTCAGCTAGCGGAACTGATGCATTCTCTGATTCTGCTGTGGGAGCCCAAGAAACCTGTGGAAGGCAGCAGGAGGTGGGGGAAGGAGGGAGATGTTCCCTCCCTCTGCTAGTAAAAACAATTCAGCTAATTGGCCACTAAGATTGTTTGTACATGACAGCCAATCACCAGCTGAAACAAAACGATAGCAGAATGATTCCTGTAGCTGCAGGTGTCATCCCAGTATACCCACTCAATGTCCAGTGACTTACCAGTACATGGCTGGTCCATGTTGGGCATATACAGTGAAGGAAATAAGTATTTGATTCCATGTTGATTTTGAATGTTTGCTCACTCACCAAGAAATGATCAGTCTAAAAATTGAATGGTAGGTGTATTGTAACACAGAGACAGAATAGCAACAAAAAATTCATAAGAAATGCATGTCTAACAAATTATGCACTGATTTGCATGTTCATGAGAGAAATAAGTATTTGATCCCCTTCACAAAACATGACTTAGTACTTGGTGGCAAATCCCTTTTTGGCAATCACAGAGGTCAGATGGTTCCTGTAGTTGGCCACCAGGTTTGCACACATCTCGGGAGGGATTTTGGCCCACTCCTCTTGGCAGATCCTCTTCAAGTCATTAAGGTTTGGTGGCTGACATTTGACAATTTGAACTTTCAGCTCCCTTCACAGATTTTCAGTCGGATTAAGGGCTGTAGACTGGCTAGGCCACTCCAGGACCTTTTAATGTGCTTCTTCTTGAGCCACACCTTTGTTGCCTTGGCTGTGTGTTTTGGGTCATTGTCCTGCTGGAACATCCATCCATGACCCATTTTCAATGCCCTGGCTGAGGGAAGAAGATTCTCACCCAAGATTTGACAGTACATTGCCCCGACCATTGTCTCTTGCGGTGCAGTTGCCCTGTCCCCTTAGCAGAAAAACACCCCAAAAGCAGAATGTTTCTACCACGTTTGACAGTTGGGATGGTGTTCTTGGGGTCATAGGCAGCATTCCTCCTCCAAACAGGGCGAGTTGAGTTGAAGCTCTCAATTTTGGTCTCATCTGACCACATAACTTTCAACCAGTCCTCCTCTGCATCATTCAGTTGTTTAGTGGCAAACTTCAGCCAGGCCTGGACATGTGCTTTCTTGAGCAGAGGGACCTTGGGGCACTGCAGGATTTCAATCCTTGTCAGTGTAGTGTGTTACTAATTGTTTTCTTGGTGACTGGTCCCAGCTGCCTGGAGATCATTGACAAGATCCTCGCCCTTTAAGAGACTGCTTCTAATCTCAGCTTGTTACCTGTATGAAAGGCACTTGGTAGCCAGAAATCCTGCTGAATGATAGGGGATCAAATACTTATTTCCCTCATGAACATGCAAATCAGTGCATAAGTTGTTAGACATGCATTTCTTTTGAATGTTTTTTGTTGCTATTCTGTGTCTGTGTTACACTACACCTACCATTGATTTTTAGACTGATCGTTTGTTTGTGAGTGGGCAAACATTCAAATCAGCAGGGGATCAAATACTTCCTTCACTGTATGTAACAGCAGAGAACACGGGCCTGCGATGAATTGGCTCTGTGGATCAACATGACCGCAATTCGTTCTTTTTTTGTAATGCCCATGTTGAGGGTTAGGCCCAAAAGAGTTTTTTTAAATTCAGAAACCGTAATAGGTTTCTATGCGAATTGTCTGGCAGGAGCTGAATTTGGGTGGGTGGCAATGTATTGTGCGTATAAATTGCCTTAGCCCACAATCAATTGATACAAACCTTCTGTGAAAAACAGCGGAGGGGGGCTGATCCTGCTAACACTTTGTTTTTGTGGACACTATATAAAGGAGGCACTAGTATAGTTCTGTTCATGCTTAATATATTGATCTGTACAAACACTAAACTAGTAATGGCGGTGATCAGTGACCAATAGCTTGAGTGTGATAGTGTGTGGGCAATCTAATGCTAGTTGACCCTGACATTATCTGATGTCGCTAGTGGCAGGAATGCAGTGATCAGTGAAAATTTCTATATATTGACACTGTACTAATGGCACTGGCTGAGTTATCAAAGGGTTAAACGTGCTAATTAACACATTCCTGTAAAATGTAGTGGTGCTTTTACTCGGTGCTGTGTTCTTTCTTCTCTCCCTGGACTGATGATGAGAGGGGGTGCAGGTGTGTTCACACCCCAAAATAGGAAGCAATGCATGATTATGTCACTTTGCCAAGAGCTGCTGCTTTGCCACAAAATGTGGGTAAGCCATTAGCAAGCAGTTAAAAAAACAAAACAGTTTTTACTATTGTGGGTTTACTAACGCTTTAAAAAACAAAAAAAAAAAAAAAACTTAGAAGCTGTTTCTATGCAGAGCTGCACCACATTTTACACACTCCAGTTTCCTACTGTGTTGTTGAAACTGACTGAAATTTGGGTGGTGGAATCTCTCATTACTGTATTGTCGACAGCCATTTATCAGCATCCTCTGGCTTGTCAAAGAATTTGATAGAATTGGCATGCTGAAACCAAAGGTTGCTATTGTACAACATACTAAACATCAGAACTGTTTCTTGGAGTGGTCTCTGTATAGCCAGGAAGGTTCTGCAATCCTTCTGTACTTCAGCAGAGAAGTCCTGGAAAAATAATATGTAGGAATTCTTAAAGATATGTCTCTGTACTGAAGGTTCACGAAAATAGGCCAAGAAATCCCAGCAGTGCCTAGGCAAGAGGTGGGAGCTGTATGCTCAAACACAGCTGTAAGAGAGATGCTGGTAAAGTCCAGGAGCTCCATATAAAAAAAAAAAAAAAAAAAATTCCTCAAACTTGGCGGAGTGCCTTTTTCTTCTTCCAAGAGTATTCTTCTTCCACACTGTATGGCAGAGACAATTCTTAGCATCATCTCATCTAGCTGCAAGCATCTTAACCATTCTTTGTTGGCACACCAAGGTGACTGTGCTACGCAGAGGTGTCTTCTACTACAGTTGTGTCCAAAATTATTCAACCCCCAATGCTGTAAAGGGGTTTAGGGACTATAGTGTACATTTGGAATTGTATTCAGAATCAAATCCTACAAGGACGT